TTTATTGCAGTTCTTAATGCCTTTCTCAAAAAGAGTTTTTTTCTCCTGTGCCGAGCCAGAAAAATGGCCTAATGTGATTAATCAACTGGGGTGATATCTTAGTTATTTTTAGCTTATTCCCCTGTGGCATCTTGCCTTAAGTAAGAAAATGTTTAACTGGGAATGATTTTTATCTAATATAATGTTCTCTGATTTTCAAAGACGTACATTTCAGGTTGGAATAGTCTTCAGTCGTTCTGTCAAATTAAAATTCAAAAAAGATTTTCATTCAACTGTGATGTTCTTGTTGGAGGCACATTTTGTTCTTCTATAATTTCATTTCATAACAAACCAACAACATTTCTCTTCATTGAATCCTTCCTTCACAGCAAAGGATGTAATGTCACCGAGTCAAATGGAGCATACTAAAAGCTGGACTGGGGACCAATTCCCAGTCAATGCATGCTGCAATAAGCCGGCTCCATTGGTTCCACTCCAGGTTGTTAATTTTCTCACTGGCAAAAGAAACCCGCTTAGAGCGATCATTTGAGCAAGAGAAAACACATGCTGCCATTACTTTGAAACAGCCACTCATCAAATCACACAGAATTAATTCAGTTTCTACTCAACACTGTATATTACAGTTTGGAATGGTGTGAACACAGACAAACGGAGCAATAGCAAAGCAGCTTGGGTCAATCAGATTTGAAGACTGGAACTGTATCATGTGTTAAATGAAGGTATAAAGTAATTATATTATGAAATGTTGATGGCAGCAGTCCTGTAATGTTTGAATAGTATTTGAAAACTATTCAAAATATATTGTGATTGAAAGAAAAATGCTTTTTGCGTTTTCTCGCAAAGTATTGCGTTTCCTCAAGAAACTGCATTTGCTAACAAAATATGCATTCTCTCAAAAAACTATTGTGTTCCACCAACAAATGAAAAAGCATTGAAATATAATTTTTCCTCCCTTCTCATTTTTTACTATCACTATGTCCCTTTAGGGGCTCCGTATTAAATAGAACCAGGGGCATAGCAATAGTTGTAACTTAAGTGAGCAAAAGAAACCCGCTTAGAGCGATCATTTGAGCAAGAGAAAACACATGCTGCCATTACTTTGAAACAGCCACTCATCAAATCACACAGAATTAATTCAGTTTCTACTCAACACTGTATATTACAGTTTGGAATGGTGTGAACACAGACAAACGGAGCAATAGCAAAGCAGCTTGGGTCAATCAGATTTGAAGACTGGAACTGTATCATGTGTTAAATGAAGGTATAAAGTAATTATATTATGAAATGTTGATGGCAGCAGTCCTGTAATGTTTGAATAGTATTTGAAAACTATTCAAAATATATTGTGATTGAAAGAAAAATGCTTTTTGCGTTTTCTCGCAAAGTATTGCGATTCCTCAAGAAACTGCATTTGCTAACAAAATATGCATTCTCTCAAAAAACTATTGTGTTCCACCAACAAATGAAAAAGCATTGAAATATAATTTTTCCTCCCTTCTCATTTTTTACTATCACTATGTCCCTTTAGGGGCTCCGTATTAAATAGAACCAGGGGCATAGCAATAGTTGTAACTTAAGTGGGGGAACATGTGACATGAGAGAAATTTTAATGTATGTTATTTCTGAAGAAAACCAGTGTATATGAAAGAGCCATTGAAACCACATGCTTCTGAACACCACAGAAAATGTGAAACCCACGAAAATATTCACAAGATCTGTTGCATCACACAACACCAGGCAGCTGACGGTCTTTAACAGTCAGACCCAAGCTGTTGTTGTGACAGATCTCATCAAATCCGCCATAATGTTCCTGTTTGTACTCATCATTTATGCTAATCAGACCCATTGCTATGGCACATACTTATTTTAATATTGTCGTTTTTATGTTCTTTGACACCATTTAAAGGGGTCATATGATGCGATTTCAATTTTTCCTTTCTCTTTGAAGTGTTACAAGCTCTTGGTGCATAAAGAAGATCTGTAAAGTTGCAAAGACTAAAGTCTCAAATCCAAAGAGAAATTCTTTATAAAAGTTAAGAGTCAGCCACGTGAAGGCGCTGTGTGCTTCGTTGTGAAAGCAAAACTACTTTGTTTGGTCTTCCAAAAGAGGACATGACTAGAAATCAGTGGTTAAGTTGTATTTACAACACTGTTCCAGAACAGTTCAACAACCCAAATATTCAGATGTGTGCAGCACATTTTATGGAGGACTGTTTCCTGATCCTGGGAGAGTAGACTACAATGCCGGCTGTTCTGACTCACAGACTGTAAGTACGTTTTCATATTTAAAGGACACGCCTCGCTTTTTCAGACCGATGAGCTTTGTAAAAATCGATGCTTTTCAGAAAGGCGGGGCATAGAGGAGAAACTATAATGTACAGTATGTGGAAAATAATGTGTTTTTTTAACCTTAAACCGCATAAACACATTTCATTACACCAAATACACAAAATAATGTTATTTTTAGCAGCATCATATGACCCCTTTAATCAGTATTCCAAATTCTATCACATTTCATTCAACGCAACATTGCATAAACGATTTGTAGTTTAAGCATGTATGAGAGGGATTTACTCCAACAAAGTAAATTTGAAAGATGAATACCTCCTTTGGGAAAAGAAGGAATGATTTTTAAGAAGAAAGAAGTATAAGTTGGCAAGTATGATAGAAATGCTGTATCTACAGTAATATGCTGTATCTGTTGGTTATACAAGGTCCCTAAGTGAGCATCAGAGTCTCGCACCTCCAAACTAGGGAATTGTTTACAAAAAGCAATTTTTTTTTGTAAAAAAAGGTCTTCTGCTCCACCCTGGTGGTCTTCGGCTCCGCCCTTGCTTTCCGATCTGCTGGCCCCACCCTGGATACCTGCTCCTTCAGCTCCACCCTGGCTCCCCGATTCAATCTTCAGTCCTACTTTCTGTCCATGGGCCTGGCCCTCCATCCTTCCCCATGTTCCCCCTCTGCTCTACCTCCCACAATAAGCAGTCCAAACAATGACAGAGTTCAGGGCTGAGGCAAACAAAGTAATGCAGCAGCAACACATGCAGGACTTCACCATGAATGACTGAATGAACCAGGCTATATATACCCTGCGTTCTATTTGGAAGGGCTCATCCCTATGCCCTAATCCCTTCAAAGAGTTTACCCTCTGGAGTAAGAGCTTCGAAGGGTTGAAGGGTGTAGGGGACCAAACAACTGTTTCTTGAAGTGCCCTTCTGCGTCATCACGTGCCCACATGGAGGCGCCGTCATCTGCACAAAGGATCATGGGAGCCCAAAGTGTCCATCAGTTGTACCCTTCGAAATTCTTCATTCCGAAGGGCCTTTTGAAGTGGCCAGTTTTGAGCACTTCGGTTTGGAACGACTCTTCAATATGGCGGCCATGATTGTTTTCACTCCGAAGTGCCTTTCGGAGGGCGATATATCCCGTTTGGAACACACTGATAGGGTGAGCAGACAGGGTTGATGAGACACAGGTGCAAACAATGAGTACTGATGAGTCTGGGCAAAGGTTTGTGGGAAATTAAGTCCAAGACTGAGTGACAGAGGTATGGGATGGAGTGCCCTCTAGTGGTTATCAAGGGCACTCAAGCTGGTGATCGTGACAATACATTTATTATTAGTTATTTTAACTACAAATTTAAATTAAACTGAAAAAAAGGAAATTATACATTTACACACAAGTAATAAATTACAATAAACATATAATACACACTGTTGCTCAATATTTAATTACAGCTTCAGATGTATGATATTTTAATTTGCTACAAGCAGGATACACAAGAAGCACGTTCAACGTGGACACACAGACAGTTGTCATGGTAATAAACACCTTAAACAGCAACCGTTCGTGTGTCCGCACTTAATGTGCATCTCATATTTGAAAAGCAATTTAGGGGGCCCTTGGCTTTTGGGGGCCCAAGGTGGTTGCCGACCTTTGATCTCCCTTTGGAGCTCTCTAGAACCGCTATGAGCAAAATGCCTAAAAATGGACTTGGCAGCCTTGAACATTTGTGTGAGTGTAACTGTTTGAGAGTTTAATATCATGCTTAATGTAACATACAAACAGGGTCAAAAATTGATTGTGAAGATTGCATCCCCTGCAGGACACAAATAGCACAAATGCTAAAATTGATGCTATTGTGATTTGCATATTATATTATGATTGCATTATTGTATGATTGAGGTTAAGTCACAGGGTTCCTGGAACAGGGAAAAATGAATTTTTATAAAACATGTCCTTTTGTATCACATTTACTAAGGTTGCATTGTTTATCCATTTGATCTTTCATTCAAAACTTTCAAAAAACATCTAATGTTAATCTAACCTAAATTCTTGAGTAAAATATCTCTAAAGCATATTCCCATTCATATTTGCATTTGTTTTAGCACACCAGGGTGACTAGGAACATGAAATTATACAGCCGTGACTTCCTGAAATATGTACATATGTATATGCACATCTTGAGAAATAAAAAGCTGCATACTGCATCAGTTAGGGTTAAAAGAATTGTTGCAAAACATATAACATTCCAGAAACATGTTAATTACTGCAATAATGATCCAATCCAATCCTTCAGTATTTGCTTTATTTAAAGCAGTGTATATATATATTCTCCTGGGGGGCAAGCTGAACAATTGTATAATTGTAGCTTTTTCATATTTAATGTGATATGACACTATACTGTTCAAAAGTTTGGGGTCCATAAGATGTTTTTAATGTTTTAGAAAGAAGTCTCTAGTGCTCACAAAGGCTGCATTGACTTGATCAAAAAAATACAGTGAAAATAGTAATATTGTGAAATAATATTACAATTTAAATCAACAGTTTAATATATATTTTTTTATTTTATTATATCATCCTGTGATGGTAAAATGTATATATTACTCCAGTCTTCAGTGCCACATGATCCTTCAGAAATCATACTAATATGCTAAAAAAAATAATAATAATAAAATTAAAAAAAAATTCTTATCATCATTGAAAACAGTAGTGGTGCTTAATTCTTACAAAGAGTAAGAAGTCTTCAGAAAAAAAAATCCCTTTTTCACTGACCTCCAGATTACTATGCACTCCAATCATTCCTCTGCACTAAAGTTACCAGTTTGTTCAGCCCTCATTCATAATGAACTCTTCACAACACACTGAATATTATTAGACTGCATAACGCTTCAATCACCAGCAGTTATTACGTACTTAAATCCACCGTGCTCTCCATAAAACAGGCTTCAAGACTATACAACATTTTCTTATAGGCTACGTACAGTAAGCAATTTTTATATAGAATACATTCAGTAAGTACTTCACTATATCAGTGATTACATATTGTGAGCATTTTTATTGTTTAAAACACAATTTACAAACCTCTAAAGCTAATCAGAATAAATCTCAAACACAACAATCATGTCATGTAACAGTTGAGTCAGTCTCACACAGTAAGTTTGTTCAGTTCATTATTAAAAAACAGAAAACAAACCACATCATTACAGTAACAGTATGTTGTATATTTACTTATTAATAGCTCAGATTGGAGTGGAAAGTCTGAGGGTAATAATACACACAAATGACCGTTTCACAAAGCATGTGTCACACTAACATCACCATCAATAAATATTAGTGTTGTTTGTGGAGAAATAAGAAATCAATGCTGAACATTTACAGTGATTTGAACACCCATATTCTAAAGATACTGAATGAAGAACACTTGATGTTCTTCATAGAGATAAGAAAAATCATGGGAATCACTCAATATTTTCATGCTTTAAATGAAGAAACCCTAGTGACTGGATTGATAACATTATGCCAATGTACTGATACTGTATTTATGGGCTGTTAGAACATGTGCTACATTAGGCCAGTACAACTGATTTCTAACATTCCTTTTACATCATTTTCCAAGGCACAAAATGACAGTGCAGAGGCCTCTAGTGGCAAATATTGAGAATAACAATACATCTTTCACTATTTGTGCTTTTTAATGCAACAAAAGCATAGAAAGAAAAAAAAAAAACATTCAAACAAACTGACACGTTCAAGATGTTTCCCAGTTGTGTCCACTCATGGCTCATAGATTATTTCTCATAGAGATCAAGTGGGTAATGCTCTTTATACTGCTGGACATGCCGCCACATGGCATCTCTCTGCTTGGCTATAAGAGGAATCATCTCATCGTAGACGTCAGTGAACAGCAGCTCGGGATTGGGTTTCAGACGTCTCTCGGCTTTTTCGAAGGCCTCCATGACGAGTTTTCGGGACTGCTTCCTCCAGGCCTTCTCCTCGTCCTCGCCCCACCAGTCTCGGGCGGTCATGTAGTGTCGCAGGCGAGAGATGGGGTGGTCCTGCTTGTCCCAGTAGTTCACTTCGTCGACTGAGCGGTACGCAGAGCTGTCGTCACTGGTGCTGTGATGACCGATCCTGGAGGAGGAAGAGGAAATAAAAGCGTCGCTTATTTCACAACACCAGGGGTGCAATGAAATTGTGGTAAAAAAATGTTTGGCCAAAAGATCAAATTAGCAGAAAACGCTACTCTGGCTAACAGGATGTGAATGACTTTGGATCGGAGTGGATTGAGAACTCTAAGAAATTTGTCTTTGATCTCTGCCCGAGTTCTTTCCAATGCTTTGTAGCACATAAGGGACCGCAAAAAGACAATGTTAAAAGTTGCTTGAAATTACTCAACGAGGTTGGTGGAAACATTCCCTGCTTTGGATCTCATTATCTGGACAAACTACCGCCTGTGTTTCTGCCTGGTTGGGAAAATTGTGCAATTAAGTACAGATATTGCTACTATGAAACAGGCTATGTCCATATAGACAAATATTTGTTAAAGGGGTCCTATTATGCTCTTTTACAAAGTCTTGATTTTGTTTTGGGGTGTACTAGAACAGGCTCTCATACTAGGTTGTTCGAAAAACACATAATTTTTCACATATTTTACATTATTACAACACCTCTCTCCCCAGTCTGGCATGAACGGCTCGAATAGTTCCTGTATATCAAATGAAGGCCTGCCTTCTGAAATACGAAATGTGCTGTGATTGGTTAGCTGGGCCAGTGTGTGTTGTGATTGGCAGCACTCGGCGCCTGGTCAGGAAATGTCACGACCCTTACCATAGCCGCCTGCGAGCTTCAGTGTAAATATTGCGTCAATATCAAATCAATTTGAGCGTGATTTAAACCAGGATGATTGTAACCACTCTAAGTTCGTCTGCTTTGGGAAAGCTAGCGTGTCTCCGACATAGTGATAACACTCGTTGCCTTCTCTAGTGCAGCTCAACCAGGTCTCGTAACATTCGTCGGTATTTGTGATATCACAAATCCCGGAAAATATACGTTGTAGTCCAAACGAGTCGTTCGTTGTAGTTTTTGAAAAG